CCAGATAAGTGGCGACCCCAAATATTTTTGGAATTATTTGGCATTATTTTAATGTAGCCACTGATCATGGCTGCCTTCTGAAATGTTATTTAATGAGAATACGTACCATTCTCCAAACAATAGTTTGAATCGTTTTGCCACTTTTTTCATTAGTATTTTTACTCCACCTAGTTCAGAAGGTTGTAGGGTAAAAGATGATAGATACTGTGCGTAATCATTCTGGAACAAACATATTTCAAATCTCTGAACAAGTAATTTGCCTCTAAAAAGCTCAAAAATAAACTAACTATTGCACTAGGTGAGTCACCGTCCTTCTTTGTTAAATACTGTATTCATGTTTTGTCCATGCAAGTTATTCAACTTAGCTACAAATATATGTAAATTTTCAGATGCTTGGAAAACTGCTTGAGCTTGCCCCATTTTCAAATCTGAGGATCGTTATCGTAAGGTTAGCTACAGAGTAATTCCGATTTTATGTAACTGTGCTAAGGTTCTGGAAATAGTCTTCACAGTGGAATATATAATTCCGTACGTGATCTCATTTCACCCTATAAGCATGGCTTTGTGGCAAAACTATCAACGACAACATCGTAATTACACAACATGTATCAGATTGTGTTGATAAACGTGGCCAAGTGGATGTCGTAAATACCGATGTTGCCAAAGCCTTTGACAGGTTCTATCATTCAGTTCTTATAAGCAAAATTATGGCTTAGATTGTTTAACTTTGCTATTTCTTGAATCATATCTATCTCACAGTAGAATATGGTTATATATCGGGGTACCGCAGGGATCAAATCTTGGCCTACTGCTTTTCACATTATTCATAAATGACTTGTGTAGAGTCCGTTTGTCCTCGATTACACTATAGGCTATGAGGTACTTTTTCGTGCTCAGAAAACTAAAGATCAGCGAATTGTTTTTGAAAAAAATTTGGCTTTTGTAGCATATCTCAATAATACCGCATTAAATGGGTATGGATTCATAAAGAGAAGTTGTCGAACTTTCACTGATGCTAAGGTCCTTACAGCAATGTATTGACTGTTGTGCAGCCTGCCTGCTATGGGCTTGTGTATTCTATTATGTCTTATAAAATAACAATTTGGGGTAATAGTTCCGCAGCCAATAGATTTTTTATCATACAAAAGAGGATAATACGAACCATGTTCAAAATGAAACCTAGAGAGTCTTAACATTACCGGGAATTTATATCTATAACATTCTACTATTTATCTTGAACCATGAAGAAAAGTTTAGAAAAATCGTCTTCGACCACAGTTACAATACTAGCAAAAGTCAGAAATGCATCTACTCATCACATAACCTGAATTATATCGAAAAATGTCCACATTACTCTGCACTGAAACTTCACCCATTTCAGCACCCCCTATATTCAAAAAACCATTCATAAATATATATGCGAAATCGAACCATATAGCATTGAAGAGTGCTATACTCTATACTACAACTATTTAAAACTGTAATGACTCATACGCGTGGTCAACACGTGATCAGAGCTCGATCCCGGCTTCCTTCCAGTACAGCCGTATAGCGTACGACATATGTCGTTTCTGTGGCATTGCGGTGGTCAACAGCACAGACAGAGCTGGAAATAATGGCTGATTGTTCTCCGCCGGTAGAACCAATGAAATCAAAGACGCGCCTCGACCGGCAGACTCATAGGCGTCGGCAACGCATTGGAACGTGTTTCGTTGAGCGATCGCATATTGTGTGTTTTAATAAGAATTGTTGTGTGATTGTTATTGTTGTGGTTTCTGTGGTTACTGTTTTGGTTATACTTAACCATGGAGAGTACAAATGGCACGAGTGGAAGTACTGAAAGCCAGGGAACAAGTGGACGGCTTCGTAAAGCACTGAAGAGGGACGCGAAAGAAATCGTGCTCAACGTGTTCAATTATCTGAACAGAACTATGTCGCAGGGAGATGCACTCGCGCGTTGTGAAAGTATGACAGGCGTTCCAGAGTGGACCATTCGCAGGGTGGTGCATGAAAAGAAGAAAACTGGAGCTACTACTGATCCAAAGTTTAATTTGAAGGGACGAAAGGCCGTTAAATTGGATGACGATAGCAAAATGGCGTCTAGGCGAACCGTACATTTATTCTTCTTTAGGAATGAGATACTAACCCTCAAGGCTGTACATGCAGCGATCAAGGAAAATGAAATTATACCCCAAATGAGCGTCGAGGTAATGAGGAAATCCCTGCACGAAATTAATTTTCGTTACGAAACGCGTAATCGGAAGTCAGTATTGATAGAGAGACCTGAAATAGTCGTCTGGCGTCGAAAATACCTACGCGAAATGATTGAATATAGGCGACAAAGCAGAAAAATCTATTATTTGAGACATGGGTAAATGCAGGTCACACAGTTAAAAAAACCTGGATAGACAAAAACGTAGTGAGTAACCGACAAGCAAGCATTGAAGGTTCGTCAACAGGTCTTCGTGGACCGTCAGGGAAAGGTCAAAGATTGATCGTAACTCATATTGGTAGCGCTAGTGGCTTTTTAAAAGAGTGTGACTTGATTTTCGTCTCTAAGAAAGGAGGTGATTACCATGACGAAATGAATGCCAGCTGCTTCGAGAGCTGGTTTCAAGGGGTGCTTCAGCGAGTTGAGCCCAACTCTGTGATCGTCATGGATAATGCTTCCTACCATAGTCGTCGAGCCGAACGTGTACCGACTATGGGATCTCGAAAAAGTGACATGCAGCAATGGTTGCGCGAAAAAGGAATCCCGTTTGACGATTCATGTGTGAAAGCGGAATTGTATGAAAAAATTAAACAGCACAAACCTGCGAACATTAGTTACGTGACTGATGAGATGGCCCGTCAATGTGGTGTCACTGTGCTGCGGTTACCGCCCTACCACTGTGAACTGAACCCAATAGAGCTCATCTGGGCTCAAGTGAAGGGTTATATTGCGAGCCATAGTTAAGGTTTTACTTGAGACTTCCATACAGCTAGTAACGCCCGAAGCTTGGCAGAATGCTATCCGTCATGTTGTGAAGGAAGAAACAAAAATGTGGAAGCTTGACCACCACATCAACACCATCATAGAGCCAGTTATAGTCAATTTCAACGAGGAAAGCGATAGCGACAGTTTATTACTGTCAGATGTAAGTGGAAGCGACGATGAATAAAGGTAATTCCCAAATTTTTCACTTACAATATGTTTCAAACCACTCTTTATTAAGCATGTGACAAATCTAGTTCACCCATGTTAAACATTCATACCCCGCCTATGAACAGCCGACTACTGGTAGTTAAGTGATGTTCACGTGAACATCGACGAGTCATTACAGTTTTAGATAGTTATAGTATAGTGAATATCGTTGTCTATGTATGTTTGTTTTTGTACCTTAAAAAATTTGTATGTTATTTACACTGGATCACAATGACGTGTTGTCTCTGTTATAAATTTCTTTTTTTTTTATAACTGAGAAACCAATAAATTTGAAATATACTAATTTCTTTGTGCCTTGTCTGAGAACTAGAAATACCAAACCCCTCCATAGCCAGACAACTAGGACTAATATGCTTCTATTGTAGCTAGCATTAACTATGTATGGAAATACTCAAAAATTCTGAATTGTGGTCGATTGTACATATTTTTATTTATAGGTTAAACGTATTGATGCTTGACATAATGTCGAAAATCTTATATTATATTTTTCTGTATACTATTGTACCTTTGTGCTTTCCGCTAGTTCAACTGGTGTCTATATTTTGCATCCATTGATTGTTTTTTCATTTTATTTATTTATATGGAATGCTTTGATATGTATTACTTTCCTGTAATTGGGTAACTGTTGGACAATAAAGATTACTATTACGTATTATTATTATCAGTGTAGTGTAGTCAGATTTTCCAGAACAACTTCTGCTTATAAAATTGGGGATGCTTACATAAATCGTTATAACTCAATTAAAGATTTGGGTGTAGTTTTTGACCCTAAATTTAATTTTTCACTCCACATAGCTCAAAAGGTGAGTGAAGCTTCGCAGGCGTACGGTTTTATTGTGAGAAACTGTAGAAACTTTAGCCGCCCAGAGCCACTGTTGGTTTTGTATTCTGCATATATATTAGATCGAAATTCTAATATGCATCGTTAATTTGAAAGCCAATTTACAACTGCTACATTGATTCTCTGGAGCAGGTTCAGAGAAAGTTTCTAAAATTTTTATCTCTTAAAGTTGACGGTATATATCCTGAACGTGGTATATCTGAAAGTTTGTTATTATCTGGGTTTCAAATACAGTCTTTAGAACTGAGAAGGAAGTGTGCATCAATTATGTTCTTGCATAAACTACTGCACAATATAATTGATGCTAATGGGATTGTGGCTCAAATAAACTTTAATGTTCCATCTACTCAAACTCGTACAGTTTAAGCATTTTGTTGTGGCAGGGCTCGCACAAATTTGTTTTTGAAGACACCCATATATGTGATGTGTGAAACTTTCAATGCAATACCAAATTATTGTGATATACATGCTGACAGTTTGAACAGCATTCTGAGAGTAGCTAGAAATTGCTTGGATAATTTATGATATGTTACTCCCCTGAGTGAAATATGTTTTTTTGCTTCTTTTTCTTGTTTGTTTTCTCCTTTAGATGAAGTCACCTGCTTTTTATGTGTTTTGTGTTCTTGTTATTTTGATTTATCTTATGATTGTCCTGTAAATGGTTTCCTTAACTGTTGGGCAATAAACGCTATTTATTTATTTATTTATATCATTATTAAAATAAAGCCCAGTAGATCGACCCAATACTTCCCAATCATTGATATTATTCTAATTAACATTCTAGTTACAGGAACATTACAAGTGATATTAGTATTGGAAGGTGTCCTAAAGGGAAACCTTGGTCTAATTGGCTCTTCATTCTCTGAAACTTCTTTCCTGCCAAGTGCCAAGCAAGGTGTGTGTAACCGTCTATACAGTAGATACTCAAACATTCTGTATATCGCTTTTTGAATAGTACCCGTGATGTTTGACATAACCGTCAAATATTCATTAAAAACTCGTCATTACTCATGTCAAATCTCTTCACACTATTATGCAATGCTTTGAAAATTGTGCAGCCATGTCGCTGTTTGGCCTACACCCGAGCATCTACGATCAAGATCAAAAGGCTCCCGTATAATAACAGCATTTACACAGTAGAAAATCCAGAAATGCAGACCAAGCAACGCAGACGGTGTAGGAAGTTCAAAAAGGTCATCAACACGGTGATTCAACAACAGGAGTTGAGGAACAAGTTTCCCGCAGACCATGGGGTATATGATTATGAACAAAGAAGACAACCGAGATTATAAAACAACAAAAATGGGAGCTGTGGTTTAAATATTTTGGTAACAATAAAGCATTCATCTCATTTGCCTAATTTAATTTGTCATTGTTTCTTACATGTACCGAGTGGGCAAATAATAGAAGACTCCGGCTCACACATTTTATGACAAAGCCATCCCTAGAAGTTACTTTCAGCTCCTAAAGTGGCTGATCGGTCTCAAGAATTTAAGTGTCGTATTGACCGCTCAATTTCTGAACTTTGTTGTAATTTTTTGTTATATTGGTCAGTTTAGCGTGGGAGGAGAGTTGAATATGCACCGATTTTGATGATCTCGGTTTCGTTTGAAAGAATGCTCACCTGCGCTCCTAATAAATAACACAATACATAAAACAATAGGAGCGCCATTGAAACAAGACTTTTTACTTCCCACGCCTACTGGCAGGGCATTACTGTAAACGTGAAAAATTTCGAAAATGAGATTGAGCTTTTTGCATTTTATAGGGCATACTCGTATACATCACGAAAAATAATGTACTTATTTCTGTCGGTTGGTCCTATAACCACCTATACTTTGAAAAATATCGCTCAGATTTTGATGAAATTTTTACACAGTGGCACTACTATGCCAGGGACGAAAAAGCTTCATAGTTTTTGGAAATCAGTCCAGCGGCGTCAAAGAAAAAAACCAAAAACGGAAATATTAAAATCACTCAAACTTCGTTTTTTGACATTTCAGAGGATCCTGATCATTTTCGGAAAAACATTTTCAATGACAAAATGTTGGGTGTTGCGGGTGGAAGAGTGGTGAAGGGGAGGATGTACCTTAATTTTTTGATGTTGGTATATATACACCTCCAACCCCAGTAATTCTGTGTACCTATTATACGTTTTACTGGTAATCTGTACAAGACAGGTATTCTATACAAAACCTAGGGAATGTATAGAATCCTGGATCGCTCAGACAATATATGAAATATGAATATTATTATCCATTACATACTTTACCTAGGTAATGAATACAATTTCTAGGGATTGTTTTATAGTACCAGCTGTTCCATCGGCAATGTGTAAAATAAATAGATATTGGTCTAAATTTACCAATGTTAACCGGCATACCTATAAGATTATGGACAAATGAAACAAGTAATATTATTTAAAGTCAACTGTATTAATATTAACAATTAGAGTGGTCCTTAAAAATAAGCTCTATGAAAAGGGTACAAAAAAGCACCTTTCCGTTACTACTGTAAAATCACAGTAAAATTAACGTGAAACTAAAAGTTATTCTGGCTATAAGTAGCATAATGTAATTTTCTTTGCTTACAAGTACGCAACATGTTTATTGCCTGCCTGCCAGTATATACAACCTGCATTCCTTGCTCTCGTCTTTTACATACATTACCGGCTGCGCATTCGGTATTGTATAGATATAGAATACTTAGGGAAAGTATAAAACAAATAATATTTCATAGATTACCTACACGTTTTAGGTATTCTTCTATACATTACCTAGAATACCGGATTATATAGGGTGACTTCGAAGTTGAGTCATTTATTTTGACAGTGAGTAGATCTGATCAAAAGAAATGTTTTTTTCCTTTACCATTTTTCTGCTAAAATTAAAGTAACAAAGTTATAGCCCTTTGAAAGTTTGAGTACCGCCCTGTCTCAATAATAATATCATGTGCTCGTGTTTGGCAACAACGGATATAATCCGCCTTATCGGTTCATCGCATCGGAAACAAAAAAGCGAAAGAATTTGGAACGATGTTTTTACAATTATTTTATTCAGTTCAGATATACATACAGTCAGTGTCAATCGGTAACGCGCGTGAATAGTGTCTGTTGCGTAGCTCAAACGAAATAAAAAATGGCACATGTTTATGACCTCACAGGGGACCTCACGATCAAATACAGGTCCGCACTGAAATACTTGTCGGGAGAATACTTTATAAAACAAGGTAAACATTTTTTTTTAATTTTTTTTTTATTTTTACACACATATTTTGGTTTATCTTCCTTCTACAATCATTATCTGAAAATTAATGACTCAACTTCAAAGTCACCCTGTATAGATTGCCGGTAACATACCTAATTCACTCATCATAGATGTCCCCATATATTTAACCTTAACACCGTATCTCCAACAGTCGTACTGATCACAGCGTTGCGTGGAAAGTACAGATTCAAATTACTTGATGTAATTTTTTTATTGCAGGTAAGGCCCAACATGATGGTTTCAAAAAGTAACATCCTGACAGATCAAACCTTACAAATCATCAACGTGAAAGTAGTCATAAGGTAGGAAATAACTGTAGTAGAACACGTAAATTAAATTTTATGGATCACTTATTTCAAGTTATATGTTCAGGAGTGTGCGAGTGCAGTGTCCAAACAACTATGCTCATGATCAAGAGCATGAAGCATAAACATGAAGAAAATAGAGATTTAAAAAAATCAAGTGTAACAAAGATAGTAGCTAGGCAGTGTACATTTGAGCGTTGGTAGGAGCCTACACGCCTGTGAGAAACCCCTTAATACATTTTTTCATAGGAACCTGTACGGGGCACGTTGTACGTGGTTAGATTTTTTCGGCCAACCAACTTATGTTAAGTTTTGTAGGACTAAACATAACCTGAACTGAGACTGGAAGCGAGGGAAGGGGGTTCGTTGTGGTATGCGCAAGTGTGTTTAGAATGATTTCCAGAGTTTCTAGAGTATTTTGAGAGAGATTTTCAAGTGTCTGCACATTAATGAGTTATATTTTTATATACTCCAGCTGCCACGAAGGTCTAGGGTCTAAATACCCATGGGGTACCGTGGGCCAGAGGGGGATACAGGGGAAAGGAGGGGGGGCGCCACACGGACTCTAGCGAGGGAACACCTGTGCATGCAACATGCACACATTCTGGTCCCGATTACGAGATCCGCTGGGTGGTACCTCCGCGTACAACAGTCAGAAACCATCTACCACCTACGGACAATCACAACATTCATAGCCAAGAGAAATATCTCTCTTCAACGGGATTCGAACCCGCGCAGCAAATGGCAGCTGATTAGGCTGCCTAGACCACCTATGCTAGAGATTAAGGTTGTATTTTGCTTCTAGTTGCATCGAAAACCAAGAAATGTCACCTGTCATCCACTCGGGATAAGATATGGATGGAATGCATAATTAGAGATCGGCGAACAAATTAGCTCCGTTTGATCTGGATGGAATCTTCTACACCTCCTCTACCAGGATGTGAGTGACGATATCCTGCAGCTTTGTCACCATGATGGAACCATGACACTCATTTTTGTCAGTTTGCCTGCCAGTCGATTTGTCTGTCTGTCGGTCTGCCCGCTAATCCTTGGTTGGAAAGTACCATTCGGATTTTGATGCAATTTTCACATAAGGTTCAAAAAAGCTTCTGAAAATTGGGTGAGTGAGGGCAACAGAACAAAAAATAGAACAAAAATCACCCAAACTTCGGTTTCAGAAAATCCTGATCATTTTCAGAAAATGTTTGCAGGGGTAAACAACTGGGTGTCGTACGGGTTGGAGAATTTAACGACCGTACGTCTATCTGCTGTGAATGCTGAGCGACAACTGTACGATGATGCGTGTATTCCTGAACGCAATACCGTGCTGGATTTGCGACTGCTAAGGCAAGTAGTTGTCACGCTGCTGAATGATCGGTGAGGCGGTCGACCAGATCGCAATGTTTTCACATTTGTGGGGACTATGGGCTAATTATTTAGACCTGTTTGAGTGGCATGATCCACTTTATTCTGTTGTTATACATATCTATATAAAGAAGAATAACTTCTGTTCGAAAAAAAAAACTAGTCCTTCTGGAAGGACATAAGTCGACTTTTCTTCCTGTGATAAAAACCTAGGAATAAAAGTGATATCATTTGTCATTTTCAACGTGGTAAGAAATTAGTGGGCTGTCATCAAGTGTCATTACATGACTCTGGAATAGTTTAGGCGTTCTTAAAATATGATTACACAGTATTGATTACATTATCAAGTGATTTACTAACACACCCCTGCTATATCCTTTCAAATGAGAATTTTGACGCCTCGCCAATGCAAGTGGCCATCATTCCATTGCAGTGGCAACATTGAGCACGGAAATCGCATCCCAGATAGTAATTTTCTTCATAAGTGCGGGTATTTCTCTCTACCTATTTGGTAATTCCAGTGAAATTGCCTTTAAACTGTTTTAATATATTTTATTGCTACTTACGAGCGCCGTTTTCTCTCCTGAATTCCCGGGATTTCTTATTATTCGTTACCTGACAATGAGATCGCTGAATTTATGTCCGAGGTTTTATGGGAATTGAATCAATTTGATTTTTCCTCTAAGAGAGATGCTATTGTGAAAGAAATATATGCACTCTTGCCTTTTGACTGTAAAGAGTGTATGAAACTTTTGTCTCTTATAGTTTCCACTATATAACAAAGAAAGGTTGAGGGTAGGCTGAGTAGTTAAGATACGTTATGATGTCTTATTTTGATAAACCTGATACTCTGGTAGAGGATAGTTGCACAGCTTCAATTCGTTGTCATACCTGAGATCAAGCCTACACCATAGCCCGAAGAATAGCGCAAAGATATTAGGTCAAAAAGAAGGTTTGATCTTTGTTCATGCAGAGCTGTTGAAGATGTCTATTTTGGCATCAAGATGCATTACAAACAATATTGTGTGACAACTTAAATGAATTAAGATATTACTGAAGAATTACCACGTTGAAATCCCTTTTCTAGACACGCAACGAAGAAAAAAAAACGGAGAAAAACTATTAATTATTGAGTGCCACTAATACAATATAATTGAAATGCTGATCAATATAAAACTCTTCATGAGTAAAAACCTTTAAAAATTATGTTATATGCATTCTTGGCAAGAGAAGTTTTCAACGATAAAATGGTGATTACGGTCATCTTATACGGCAAATCGGCATGCCGAATAGCATGACAGCAACAATTTGAAAAGATAGGAAGCTGCAATAACTGTTCACTACTGATTTTACAGTGTTGCCAAAATCGAATGATAAACGGTCAGGCAATGCTATGCACTGAACGCATTCAAATGTAGGAAGCAGGCAATTTCTTTCTTACAAAAATACATATATGTTTACTCCACCAGCCTGGCTTCCAGCCTACTCCCGATTTCAGACATGCATCATTGTTGTCAAATAGAAAATACCTGTAGTAAGCAATTATAATTTGATGCAATAAGCATAATGTGTTTTTATTAGACATTCGAACCAAGAAAGAGCTACCGACTATGGATGGCAACAGGGAGACCTTAAGTCGGAGGAAACCCGCCTTCCTTCACAATAATACACCAGGACTGTCAAGGCAAATAGGGAGGCTTAGAATAAAGAGGTTTTAAATGAATCCACAACTATGTATGATGCTGGAAGAAATCAATACATAATATTGTCGCTCTCAAAGCTACTCGAGAAATTAAATGCTATGAACCTTCCAGTTATATGGTGGGACCACGAAAACTTTCGATCGGCTGTTGGATGCCAACTTCAATCCTATGGCCTAACTAATAATAAATTGATCAAAACAATTGCTTTCACAGCTGCAAGCTTGTCGATCATTTCATTGTGATCAATGGCTTCACAGATTTTATTTTTAATTGAAATGATTGCTAAATCTGACAGCCTCTCTTGGCACATTGATGTCTTTAAGATTCAACATCGAAAAACTCCTGTCGCCAGAAGCCACCGAAATTGGTGAGGTTAGGAATATCCTTAAGGCTATAAATAAATTTGGGAACAAGGACTGCAGATATTTCTTTGTTATATGGTTTAAAATACCTATGAGCGAGTCTGAAATTTTATTAGAGTCTGGAAAGATGAGCATTTTGTATGAGATAATTTCATTGTCGATCTCCTAAGATTTATTTCATCTTGAGTTTGCAAAGCCAAATCTAAATCTATACATGTACGTTTGATTACATCAGACACCAGATTCCGGAGATCACCCAAAAAAACAAATAAATCATTACACTTCTCTATTCCCTCGGAGCGCCTTTGTAAAGACTGAATGGTTGTGTCCAAAATTGTGAAATAAAAACTTATCTTGAATTTTTGATTCGGATCCAAAACTGATTCATCTATACTTTCATATGAAAACTGGCGCTTCGGCTTTCTTTGCCTCAATAAAGGAAATGTTTGTTCAACATCACTTTTTTCTGCTTCTGCTACAGCCTCATCCATAACAATAAAATATCCGCCTCTTCTTTCAGTAAAATATATAATAAGACTTTTTTTGTGGCATTTATTTAAAGTGGTGTTTAGATTCTGAATAATTTTACTTACTATATGAATCCTGGTTAACAGATCATACCAAATTATGATAGAACAAATGAACTTTAATGTTTTGATTTTGTCTAATAGTGATATTGCTGAATGTTTTGTGGCCATATCCCTGGAATCATCTTCTACCAAATCATGTAAGCTCTTACAAATTTCAGGAAATTCAAATCTACGGCTCTCTATGGCTTTGACTCTGCTTTCCCTTCGTGTTTCAGTTACTGATTTCAAAGTTAGGTTTGGCACGTTCCTCTTTTTTGTATTTCATCTGCAGGGTGAAGCGGAAAAAAATTGAACAGCTCCAGGACAACTGAAGAAAAACCTACAATCTCGTAAGAAACTTTAGCTGCATCATTGGCAGTTAAATTCAACGTATGAGCTGAACTAGGCAAAAACATTGCTCTGGAATTATATTTTTGAATTCGAGCTTAAAGGCTCACAAGCTTGCCAGACATATTTGCACCATTGTCATAGCCCTGACCTCGCATATCAAGAAGATCTATTTCAAATTTTGTTAATATTTTTTCTCTTAAAAGGTTGAAAATCCTTCACGTGTACTATCCAAAACTTTTAAAAACCCTGAAAAATGTTCCCTAATTCTAACTTCATTTGAAGAACAATGAACGAAGCGAATTATGAAGGTAAGCTATTCAGCATGACTAGCATCTGGAGATTCATCCAAAATTATTGAGTAATATTTTCCTGTTTTCAGGCAGTCCAAAATTTCTCGCTGAATATTCCTTGACAATAAATGAATTAATTCGTTTTGGACGTGATTGTCCAGATAATGTGGCAAATGTCGGCACAGCTCTTTAGACTTTCGAATGTTGCTCAGGTGTTCCATCATAATTGGATCAAATTTGCCAATCATTTCAACAAGTTTCAAAAAATTTCCATTATTTGATTCAAAAAGATTCGAGGTATCATCTCTGAAGCTAAACTTCGACCAGCCAAATATGGCACAATACAAATCATTCTTCTTCTTGATTTCGCGCCATCGCTGTTTTTGAATTTTATACTTTTTATGTTGTTCTTTATCAATAGTGCTTTCTCTACTCAAACGCAGCTTTATCTCGTGCCATTTTTGAGCACAGTTCATATGCTCCATACTATTTTCATGACGAGAAACATTAACAGATTAAGATGTCTCTAATTAGACTACCCAGTGGTTAATTTATGTGACAACGTGCTATAGATTTTACAAAAAATTCGTCGTTTGGTAACTGCCTTAAATATTGAGTGGATGAGAATTTTCTACCCGTTCTATCAACAGGAAAATTTTGCATGATTTGAATAGCGCCTTTTGTCACGATCGATTGAAGTAGGTGATGGTGTAGAGGAATCAGCAATATCAATATCGGCCATGGGCATAGCAGCTTCTGTATCTTCACTTACTGGGTTACTGAATAGTTCAGAATGTGAATGGAGCGGAATCAGCATTTCAGAGGTAGATGGTTGCTGATCGACAATAACCATAGGCTCTGCGGTTGGATTGGGAGGTAGATTCGGCGATAAACAGTTCGCCTTTAGGAATTTGGTCAGCTATACACTAAGTTTTTCCCGCTGCGCCTCCATATCCAGTCGGCGTTTTTTATATTGAAATCCACATATTTTTTCCTACTGCCTTCGCTCATTTCGGATATTACAGAAGAGAAAAAAATATCAATTAGCTAACAGACCCCATCGGAAAGTAATTCTAAATTTCTCAATTTCGAATTATTGTTAGCGCCCTTGCATACCACGTTTTTTAAGGCGCCGTCGACGCTCGTTTCACGATCGTGCTTTAGCTGCTCTGACTTGAAAAAATAGATACGTACATAGGTTGTGATCACATCGCGCTTACAGCGCGTTCAGATTGCGTGAAATACGCGTCGACGGCGCCTGAACAAAAACAAACGTGGTGTGGAAGTGACCTTATATTGATTAACATGTGCTAGTTTACTCTTCTACTTACTTGTATGTAGCAGTTTATTAGTCACTTCACAATAAGCGCGCTTGCGAACAAACCAGTGTTGGCGGATATGTCATTGCTAGTGTACGTATAGACAACATTATAAATGGAAGAAGTAGGCATATTGTCACAGACACTGTAGGCAACTTGGCATTCCACTACTCGCATCTACTCCAGGAGCGCCTGTATAAATTTAGCGGGCGGGGCATTCGCTGCATATCCGGTAGGACCGGCCCTGATGACCAGTTCCAATTCTATGCTGATAACAGCGCACCGATTAGCTGGAGAGAAGAAGATTAGTTGCGACTCCCTCTCTGAGAGATTTAGAAGTTATGGCTGCTTACAGACGTAATAATCTATAGTATAGTTCACTGATATCAAAACACAGTGTGCCCACGCTGACATCCGGTTTTGACGTATGGCCGAATTATGCGAAGGAGTCAGGCGTTTCGGCTGGGTGGTGTTCGGCTCACCGAGAACTTTATTTGGCACGAACATATTTCGTTCAGCGCGGCAGCAGCTATGAAAAAGGTATTTTTTCAGGGCTAAGAAGTATGTTTCTTCACATAACCTTCTCAGTCTGTATAAAGCCCAGGTAAGGCTTAGCCTCGAATACTGCTCACATGCTGCATCTAGAAAGGCTGTTTAAATGATCAAAACTTCTCTAACGGATATTCCCGCGACCATTTCGCACCGACGGGCGGTCGACAATCTGGCTCCCCTCTGCCGTGATATTAATCAATAAATGGGCTTTATTCAAAGCAAGATGATTACAAAGAGAAACTTAATGAACGAATAAAGCATAGTACCGATGATTATAAAATACTTGTTTCCCCATAAAAAGGAGCGCAGTTAAAAGCTAAAATTTTCTATACTATAACAAAAATAATTCGCAATTACGAAGGGCACCACAATCGTAATACACTATGAACATATTAATTACACTTACCTCAATATATAATGACACTACATCTAATCACCGATCAAATATATTCTTCATTGTTTGCCGTCACTGGTTCAAAATGGAATGATGTTTAAATGCTTTATGAATAGCGTGAAGTTGTTGATTTGCCGTACATTTGAAGGAAGAGTGTTGTACCACTTTGGAGCTATATATGCATATGAACGCTGTTCAACAAACTTTTGGAAAAGATAGACCACATGGTGTTGTTTTTGCCGTGTATAGCATGATTGTGTGGACAGCATAAGGTTCTGCTTATTACAGTCATAGTCGGGGATCACTTTTAAACAAAGCATCTGTCGAATGTCTGGGTTGATTATTTCACTGAATAAACGATCAGAGGGAATCTTAGCTCTTTAGAATATGTTAATATTAGCATTTTGTGTTTGGAGTATTAGAAAAGGGGGGATGCGAGTCTTCTCCATCTGGTGAGCGAATAAAAGCTGGTATGTTCGTCCTACCTCAGACGTTCAGCAACAGTACCTAACGCCAGGACACTTAATACTTTTTTCTAATGCTATTGAATGTTGTAATATCAATGAGCTTTGCTTCATGATGCTGCCGGCCGTTGCACTTGGGTGTCAAGATTGTGGAACAATAGGCACGGGTATCACGTATCTTGAAAAGTGACATTATGACGATTTTTTTGACATTATGCTGGTTTTCCTCGAAATTATATAGGTTATTCTACAAGATGTTAATTTAGCACTTAGGCTAAATGTCATGAGGCTTGTTACCAATCTTTGGCTCTGATGCGATGTAAAATCTGCTTCTGAGATGGCATTACTGCAGGTCTAAGCTGTAAGTTGTTTGTCTTGATGATACTTACATTGGGTTCTTGTCTCAAATACACTTAATTGAGGTTCAAAGCTAGAAATTAGTTGCGCATCCACTTTTTCTTATTCATTCTGGAAATTAAATATACAAGTTTGCTGAATTTAATAATGAGAGAGATAAGACGTAATTATATTCACTGTACACTGTGGAATTACAAGCCATATACATGCTAACAGTAATTACACACAACGCGGGCGCGGTGATGATTTACCTTATTTCTCCTCAGTTTTTCGTAATTTATAACTTCGAACATAACCTCTCTTCAGAAAGTACAATATATATATAACCCATCATATTCGGCATATTCACTAAATATTTTCTCACACAGCAAATATCACTGATTTTATACACTTGCAGACCAATACACATAATCATTCAGATGCGATCTTGCTAATCAACCAACTTTCTTCATAGAGATAAAAACTACAGACCCGGATCACTCAGCCTCACAAAACCATGCAACCAATAATGCGTAGTTTAGTTGAGTGATTCCTCCATAGACGGACGTTCACAACGATCCTAGTGAGCAAACGTGGAATGACTGTCTGCGCCCTAAAAACTACCTAGTCTGCAAGTTGACATCTTATAGGTTTTTTTGACGTTTTAAAGGTTTTTTACATGATACCCGTGCCGGTTTTTCCCAGTCTGACTAACCCCAGGTAGTTACAAGCTCGGATTAACAAGCACCCTATAACTATCGTGGCGCTTCGGTATTTAGGTTTCTGCAGACGCGGTAGTATCAGTATAAGGAAAGGCACGACACAACTTATAAACAAGTGGGAGCATGTGTGTCGAAACTCCCTATCCTATTGACGAGCGATTTGATTACTTCTTCTTCTATATCCCAATGAAGTTACGAGTAATTGGATAAGTTTCATCCATTTTCAGGATTTATCTGTCAGAAGACAAAGCGGTAGTGATAATTCTCATTGGATTCTATATAATGCCAACTCATGTAATTGATGATGTGTTAGGAGACAGCTCATTTTCTTTACTAGCTTGTGAAGGTTAAGTTCATATGTATCGATTTGATTGGGTTCAAGGTCGTCTGATACAAAGTTCAACTTCATAATAGTTAAGAGTCACATTCCACGTAATGTTGTACAAATTTTGATGGATGCAAATTCAACAGGCTGTACATATAACTTTGGGGCA